TGTGGATTAAATTTTAGAGTTGTGAACTCATCCCTATTTAAATGAATTAAGCTTTGAAAATTTGACTTCAAATTTCATTTTTTACGTGTAAATTTGGAGAAGCAAAAGAAAGAATTTGAGGTTGAAAATTTTGGCTCGAAACTTTCTGTCAACTCTCATGCCGATTTTTTCAATCCAAATTTGATATTGATATTGATATTAATATTAATATTGACATTTTAGTGCGCAATTGCAATTAAACAGCCCCTTTTTTTTTTTTTGTTATTGGGAAGTATAAACAAATAAGCATTATTTAAACAATATATCCTCTCTCTCATTATTTATTACTTTTTATTGCAAATTGAGAACCACTTTAATACATTTTCAAAAATAAGTTAAGAAAAAAAATTCACAAAAAGACCACCTCCTTAATTCTAGAGAAATTTTGACTTTTTATATATAAATAAAACGGAGGGAGTAATATATACTAAAAACAATTGATTTATGTAAGTTTGAAAAAGGTTATGAATCATAAACTAAATTCAAAGACAGCAATAATGTTTGGAAATTAGTTTTAGTTTTAAAATGTGAAAGCCAACATCCTAAGATAGATCACCGTCACCGACACTCCATTTTTGTTTATTTATGTATTCCCCTCGAGTAATAAATTTGTGCAGCATCTCAAGGTTCTGTGCAGTTCCTTTAATATCCTCCACGCCTCTTAACGTTCAAATTGATGAAGCAGTCTCATTTAGTTTTGCCGTATGTACCTACATATATAAATTAGGCTAATTAAAATTTTCATCCAGCTACAACTATAAATGAATTGAGTCCCTTGTGAGCTGTACAAGTCTCAGTGAATTAGAAGATCTCTCAAGTCGAGCTATTTCATTTAATAAACGAGTAGAAATCGAGCTCAAATTTATTAGAGCTCAGCTTAATCCGATTTATTTACAATTCTAAATACATTAAAGTTCGAACTATATACATTTAAAGTGTAAGTCTAAATTTAAATGATAAATATGAAAATTTTTACATAGTATTTAAATACTCTTCAATTTTATTAATTTAACCTTAATATGAGCTAATTACTCCAATCTCAACAATTCTCTCTCAATTAACTTGCCACTAAAATTAAAAGAGGAAAAAAAAGGTGATGAGATGAGTTTTAGGGAATTTTTAATAGAAATAAGAGTAAAATTTTAATATTAATTTTTTTAAATGACATAATTTTTAGTAAAATAACTTTTTAAGAGTGACAAATAAATGGTCTATTAGGTAATATTAATTATTTTAGTAGTTGTTAGTTATTGTAATAACTATTAGCTGTTAGTTCTAAGCCATTAGCTATTAGCTTTTAGCTATTTAAATGATTTAAATTAAAAATATTCGGTAAAAATAATTATTTAATTAGCTGATTAACTTAAAATGATAAAAAGAAAACTGGTTGTTTAATTAGTTGAACTGAGGAAAAAAAAAACAATGGTATGATTATTAAAAAAAATCAATTAATCTTTGTGAAAACGTTAAAAGCTATAGTGCTTAACATTTCATATAAAGCTTACTCAAACTCTAAAAGCTACTCCATGTGTCTTAAAATATAAATCGTTTAGAATTTTTATATGGAGATTAAGGAAGTAATTAATTTTCCGAAATTATAACAAAATCAAAGATAATTTAATCAAATTATCTTTTATCTCAAAACTAAAATTAACTTGTAAATATAGTTATTATATCTAATGTAAATAAATATAATATTAAAAATATTATTTATTAAATAATATATATTTTAAAATAAAATTATTATCTAAAAAAGATTTATATTTTGAAAACAAAGAAATATTAGAAAAGTTATATTATTGAGTATTATAATTAACATAGATAGACTAGGTTAAAACAATAGAAAGTATTGACCTACTCTAGTTACATATTAGTAGTACTTTCTTAGTTTCTTATGGCTCAGAATTACAAGAAGATTCATTGGACTAGGTAAGTGAGTAAGTAACAAGAAACCATAAAAAGACAATTTTGGGCAGCAGTTCATTTAAAAGCTCATCATCAATCATTTGGTTTGGCCTTTCTTGTGGGCCCTATAACTTGATATTTATTTATTTATTTATTTATTTATTTATTTATCCATCTTAAATATAATAAACAGAGGCATGAGGATTTGTTTCCTTTAACAAGGATTTAATTTCATGGTTCGCGTAGCAGCTGTGCCCCTTTGAGTCCATCAAGCGACAACCCAATCACTTTCTACAGAATATTCAAGGCCCCTACGCATGATCAAACGGTCCAGCTTGCTTCTTCTACACTAAGCAAGCGCAAGCACTAATCAAAGAGTGTGAAACATACTTGGCAGCATGAATGTGGGACCTATTATTTAGAATCCAAAGTTCTGGGTCCCATGTGCAATGGACAGTTGGCCCCTTTCGTTTTGATTTAATGTTTCCCATATGGGTAAAGCATAAATCCAGTAGCAGAGTTGGATGTACCGAAGTCAACTATTTCAACTCTAGTCTCCAAGTTCTAAAATTATCAATATATAGTTTTCTTTAAACAAATAATTTCAATAAAAAAAAGTTACTTCAGAAAAATAAAAAATAAAATTCACGAGGCTCTATGCTATAATAATTATTATTTGAGACTGTAGATTCAAATTTAATAGCAGATATTTTTAATATATATCAAAAGAATTATATATTATTTAATAATTTTATAATTTGTTCATGTAATCCAAATAATCTATTCAAAGGCAGCGACGAGTCAAAGACGGATAAATCCAATGGCTTGCCTAACAATAACATACCTTTTCATAAATGTCTTTGGACTTTGGTTCATACTTAGAAAAGAGCATTAAAAAAAATATGGGTCAACTTTAATAACGAAAATGAGCACAAATTGATTATTTAGTGGACTATAATATTGAATTATTATCACAATTATGAATTCTGAAAAGTTACTGTATTGGGCTTTGTTTGATTTAAAATGTTCTAATCCCCATAAAATATACAATTCTTAGGAAATTATTTTCTAGAAAATATAATTTGAATATATTTGGTATATAAATAACTTTCCGTGACATAAATTGCTTTAAATTACAAAAGATAATAATATTTATAATATAATTTTAAGCGTGTTTAGATAGTAACAATCTCTAAAAAAGTTGCTCTCAACACGAAAATTAGATGGTCTATTTGCTGAGAAATAAATTAATAGTAAAAATCAAATCTAAATATTTTATACACTTTCCCGAAAGGTATACTTACTTAATCTATTTACCCCAACCAAATACTACCTTAGAATATAAATCCACTAGGTTGAAGTCTGTAACAGAGATGGCAATGTATTCAAATGTAAGACTAAACTTTAACAATATGTTTGGATTAGAGACGTAAGGAAACAAGAGAGGATAAAAGATAAAGGAGGAATTAAAAAAATATGAAAAATTTTAATTTTATTTCTTGTGTTTTGGATATAAGACAAAACTAAAATTATTTTTTCACCCTTAGATTATCATGATAGTTTTTTTTTTATTTCTCCTTCTAATTTTAAAAAATAATTTAGAAGGAAATTAGAGTTATTTTCCTTTCCTACTCATTTTCCTTCATGTTTTGAAATTAATATTTTCCTACAATAACTATTATTTTGTTGGGGGTTAAAATCAATCATGATACAGGAATACAATTCGCCTAATATGTAAATAAAATGGGCTACAGTTGAGTCTAAATGGATTCACATCATAAACGGTTAATCATATGTGACACGACGTGTCACAGATTAACTCGTTTAATCCGTTTATTTAAGAATAAAAATCTAATTTCGTGTATATATCGTTTAATCGTTATTTAAGAATAAAAAATCTAATTTCGTGATATAATATATATATATATATATATATATATATATATATAATATATATATATATATATATATATATATATATATATATATATATATATATATATAATATATATATATATATGAGTGGGCTAATTTGGGTTATACGTGTTATAAGTTTGTGACCTACTCGTACACACAATCCTTTGTTAAATTTTTTGACTCATACATGACTCATTTAATTTAACGGATTAACATATATATGAAGTGGGCTATTTGGGTTATACGTGTTATAAGTATTGTGACCTACTCGTACACAATCCATTTTGTTAAATTTTTTGACTCATACATGACTCATTTAATTAAACGGATTACATATGTCATATTCATATCACTAATTTAATTTGTTTATCTTTGTATTTAAATAATTAATATAATTATTAAATGAGTTGTGTTCGTATTAAATTTAATTATATCGCGTGTTAGACAATTTAATGTCTAAGCCGATATGATAATCCATTTTCACGCCCCCGGTATTTTCCCAAAGGTTTATTTATTCTACTACCAATACCAAAGTGAACCATTTGCAATTCATTAAATGGTGAAGAAGTTAACAAAGCATATATTTGGATTGGTCAGCTCAGCTTAGCTCCATCTTTTTTCATGATTCAGACGCTTCTGCAAATATTTTGTCAACCCAAATTCAGTCGTATGTTACAAAAGTTCCTTGGTGATTGCTTTTCTAATTCCAATCCCAATTCCAAGACCATGCATAGCTGACCAAATGAAGTCATTTTTCTTAAACCCACTTAGTTTTAGAGTATTACAACTACACTAAAAGATTGTCCCATATAATCAGAAGAGAAGACCTAATCTTTCATTTAAGTAATTGAAAAATGTCTAACAGGAAAAAATTTTCGACGTGAAGTAAATTCAGGTTGGATTCCTCTTATTCAACATTTAAAAAAATAATAATAAAAATTAGAGTATCACTAATTTCTTTTTTATAAAATTAAAGATTCAAATACAAAACCTTTTATTTTCATTTTAATTAACTTTTTATGTCCCAAAAAGAACAAAAACAAATTGACAAAAAAGAGAGAATTTAATTAGTACCACATTTTGGCATATATATCTGAGAGCTCTGCCAGCAGGCAGCAGCAACTCCGGGACCTTAAAACCGCGTCAGCAGGCAACTTTTTTATGTCCTACTTGCTCCATGTGACTGATGACCAGTACCTCATCTCATCTTCTACTACTCTGTGACTCTTTTTACTTGCCTTTCCTTTCCCCTTGCAATTAACAAGCTATATATAAACAAACAAATACCCATCTCTCTCTCTCTCTCTCTCTCTCTGAGTTTTGGATCCAACATATCTAAAACTTAGATCTTTAAAGTCCCTATTTGAATCCTTCAAGATTGATACACCTTATTAGCTTAGATCTTTAAACATACAATGGCTCCACTCTTGTACTTCAGTTTTAGAAAGCTAGTTTTGCTTTATCTTGTTTTCTTTCTGTTTATTACTTGTATGTTTCTTTCTGCTTCCTCATCAGGTAGTTCTCAGCTTGAGAGCAACAAGCAATTCCTTGAAAATAGAAGGAAGTTACTAGAAGTGGGAAAAAGTCAAGATCAAGATCAAGATAGTCTTCCCAAGAAAAAGAGCTCCATTACTTCAATGAAGAATCAAACCAAACTAATGAAACCCAATTTATCTACCAAAAACCAAACTAAGCTTATCAAGAATAGCTTATCAACAAAGAACCAGACCAAGATTACAAATTCAACAAACTCAAATCTCAAGAATGAGCTCAAGAAACTCAATTCCACTTCTCAGCTCAAAAAGCTCAATTCTACTTCTTTAAAGAAGCTCAATTCCACTTCAAAACCCTATAACTCTACTAAAGCCACCTCGTCCAAGAAAACCTCAGATCTACTCAAATTAGGTTCACCCAAGAACAAAACAACCAAATCCATTTCCACAAAAGAATCACTTTCTGAATCTCAAAAACAAACCAAGAATCAAAAAATCAGTGAAAAAAAACCTGCCCAGAAAAACGCAGCACCAAAACAACCAAGTTGGCTTGATCAAGAAGTAGAAGATGATTTGGTTGCAGAATTCAGAGATCTACCTTCTAAATTCCAACAATCCCTTCTTCCAGATCTTGAAAGAATCTCAATTACTTCCAAGAAGTATCTCAACAAAGCTAATAAGGAAATGACCAAAGGGTTTAAGCCAATAGTGGGTAACAAATATGCATCCACCATTGCTACAATAATTTCTTTTGTTTTCATTATAGTCCCTCTTCTTCTTGTTTCTTTAATCTTTAACCGCTTCAAAGCTTATTTCTCTATCCAAAAGATTGTGATTTTTATTCAAATTTATCTCTCCATCTACTTCTCCATTCTCTGTCTTTCTTCCGTAGTTACTGGTCTTGAACCCTTGAGGTTCTTTTACGCTACTTCGCAGTCTACGTACGTCTGCTTAATGGTGCTGCAAACCCTTGGCTATGTTCTGTATCTACTCTTGTTGTTGATGTACTTGATTCTAGTGTTCTCTACTGATTGTGGGTTGGGCTCAAAAATATTGGGCCTGGGCCAGACTATTGTGGGCATTGCTGTTGGGCTTCATTTCTACGTGGCGGTTTTCCATAGGGTGGTATTGCATCAACCACCGAAGACTACTTGGAAGGTTCATGCTATTTATGCCACGTGTTTTATTGTGATTTGTTTCTTTGCTAGATTTGAGAGGAGAAAGAAGGCTTACATGGAAGAAGGTGGTGAGGAGGGGAAGAAGAATTAGGGCATTATTATTATTTTTTTTTTTTTCCCTTTCCGAAGAAATGAAATAAATCCCATTTTTGCTTTATTTTTCACTTTTAATTCGGGGGTTATTACTATAATGCCATTGCCCAAGGAAGGACGGTATTATTCTAGATCAAGGGAAGTAGGGTAGAGAAATTTTTCAAGTGTATTTAAATTTCATATATCTTTGTATTGCCAAAAACAATATGTACCAAACAAAATAAAAGCAAAAATTTCAAGCATGCTTTTTTTCCTTTTCTTATTCTAATTATGCTTTGATTTATGAATGAACAAACAACCTATCTTCCCCATCTAGTTGGTCTACCACAAAATAAGGTAGAAAAAAAAGCAAATTCCTTCCTAAATTAGTGATAAAATAAACAGTGACCAAGCCGTAGTGTATCGACAAGATTGAGTTTTTAAGTTCGAGTATATTTTTTTTATCCTTCGGAACTTGAACTCAAAAGCTTAACTCGTTTACAGCTCTATTTTTAACTTATTTGAATTAAACTCCATCCTCCTTTATATAGATTTCTAACTATAATTTTTTTTAAAAAAAGAATGATTATATTATAAAGATGATGGTTTTTCTTTTAGCCAAATACATGAATTCATCCCTATATTATTAATAAAAATGAAAAATTTTACGGTGCTATTGATTTTACTTTTAACTTATTAAATATTTTAACTTATAAAATTATATTTGTTGAACAATTCACTTTATAAAATCATTTTATTGAACACTTCAATTTATAAAATTAGATTGATAAAATATTTTTTTCATAGCAAAAAATGTGAAAATTATTATCTTAAAAGTTGTATGGACTACATATTCAATCGATAATTACAAATAAAATCCAAAAATTTTAAAATTATTGTTAATGTAATATTACCAAAATTTAAATTCTCTAAAATTTAAAATGCCACAATTTTTTTCTTTTAAAAAAATACAACAGTAAATTTATATATTTCTTTTTTAAGGTTATTCGGAATGGCACGTACCAATGGTTTTGATGAGATGTGTCGGTGGCTCATGTAGGGAAATATATATAATTTCAACTTTTAGGTCACGGTAGGCATTTTCCCTTTGAGACAACAGTAATTTGTTGGTCTTTGCTATCTCTATCTACAATTGCAATTAGCTTTCTCTTGATGTTAGCATTTGACATTACTTGCCATTAGAAACTAAATACTGCCAAAATCACAGGACCCATCTTTTCCATTATCAATTTCAACATTATTTGCTTGCTTTTATGAGATCTTGACATTTTTCAATCTTGATCTTGACTTTTACTCCCCTCCTTTTGAAATTCATCTAACCTAATAATTTGGAGATAATTTATCGTTTCTAGAGATGATTTTTAGGTCGAAACCATTTTATTCACTACCTAGAATCAGAAGTGAATTATCATTTTTTAGAATTTCATTTTAAATTTATTTAGACGATGAAATATCAAATAATCTGAAATTGATATCATTATTTAAATTTTATCTTTAACCATTTTTCTTTACCAAATCTAACAAGTTTTTTCCCCCTCTTTTAAGAATAATGTTTATTAAAATTCAAAGTCGATTCTTAACCTAGAATTGGAAAGGGGATAAGATAAAAATCAAATTGTAAAATTAGGATGGTCAAATCGTATGATTTACATGTAATAAAAATAATATAAAACGAGAAATATTTAATAAAAATAAATATATAGTAAAATTGTAAAATCATTGAATTATTTTGATTATTTTCAAGCAATTTTATGTGATTTTACCAAAAATTAAATTTTAAATACGTATTAAATCGATTCCTTAATCTAGACACGTAAAAGCGTATGAAATTAACTCATGACTTACGTGCAGAGACGAAGCTAAAATTTATAAAGAACGGAGCAAATGACTATAAAAATTTACTTAGTAGATATTATGAAAAAAAAGGAGGGAGGCAAAATGTGTTTCAAAAATTCGTTTAGTCTAAAGTTTAAATCACAGAGTTGTTAATAATTTTTTTTTTTATTTATTTTGTAAATAGGAGAAGGGCGATTGCTCCTCTCCTCCGCAAGGTAGCTTCGTTCCTGTTTATGTGATTTTACATAAAATTTTTAAGCATATGTTAAAATGGTTTCTTGATTTTGACACGTAATAGAGTGTGAGTTAACTCGGATTTTGACAAGCATTATAATAATTTTCATCTTTTAGTTATTAAAATAGTAGTTGTCACATTTTCTAAAGATGTTGAAAATTGAGTAAGATTGTGTTGAATGAAAAGAAATTTATTTCCGGCTTCATTGGAAAGCAATTTGCTTTTAAATTTTATTTTTTTCAAATGGATTAATTTTATACATGGGGCCTGAATTTTTTAATTTTTTCTATTTTAATATCTAAATAAAAAAAAATTATAATTGAATGTTTCAACTAATAATTCTATACAGTTAAGTGCATTTAATTAGAATCTCTCAATGAAAAATCAAAATGAAATATTTACCTTATTAAATTGGTCCACTTTAAATTTTAACAAAATAATCCAGTCAAATTGTATTTGATTGTAATTTTTTGACACAGAATTGCAAATTTTGTTTATTCAAACGTCAAAATAGAAAAATAAAAAAGTTCATAAACCATAAATATAATTAACTATTTTCAAATATAAGGCACAATTAATTCCATAATCATTGCATGAAATTCCGATTAGCAAATCCATTGTCAAAAATGGAAGTCCAAGTTTAGCGATCCAGTTGAAATGTTGCACAATTCATGTCTGGTCTTTTATTTGCTTCATTTTTTTAATTTAATTTTCTCTATATAAAAAAATATTTTTTATTATAAAAGATAAATATAAATAAAATTGATATTCATAATTATTTACTTTTATAATCTTTTTCTTTGGTTACACCATTAAATAATTATTTTTAAAAGAGAAATATGATATGAAAATTTGAACTCTTCAAAAATATTAGACTATTGAACTAGTAATTTAATTAGTATTTTATTATATTATTTAAAAACTGAGTTGCAATATAAAAATATAAATATAAAATGACTTTAATCAAAACATCCTAAAATTTATAGCATTTTCTTAATATAAATGGTTTCCCACATATCAACCTTTGACTTTATAAAAGATCATATGCTGAAAACATATCAATTTAATTAAAGTTCGAGTTGGGCCATGGGTGATCTATATCTTCATCATGGACCAGCAGATGATCTATTATTTGGGCTTTCCCAATAACTGTTCAATGAGTTAACGTGGGCTTTTTTAATTGGGCTTTTTTTTTTTTATCTCTCATCAATTCTTCAATCACAAAACAAAAAAGACATGGAAAATATGTTTGAGTAAAATTTTGTATTATTGTCTTAAAAGGGAAAAAAAAAAACACTTACTCCATCTCATTTTATTTGCATGATTTGCAAAATATACATATTAAGAATTTAGTTAATAAAAATTATTTTGCTATTCTTTAACCTTAATAACTCATTAATATATTAATAAAAACCATTCATTTAATGAACAATTATAAATGTTCTTATGGAAAAAATAATTATTTACATATACAAATTTAGAAACATGGCAAATATTTTGAGACATCTAGAAAAAGAATCACAAGCAAACAAAATGGATGAATATATATATATAATTAAGAGATAAAAATAGATATTATAATACAATTAATTACTACTTTATTCCATAATACTTATCGCATTTTTGAATTTCATGTCTTTTAAGAAAATCAATAAATTAGTTTAGTTATGATAAATTATTGAGTAAATTAACTATATTATCCTTAATTTAATATATCCAGATACCAAATTAAATTTTAGACTCTTCAATTTTTATGTTTTGTCCAATCACGGTGGTGGAGAGATTTTGGAAACACGAATACAAAGGGTAAACATGCCAATGAGAATTTATTACATTTTGAAATTATAAACGTGGCAAGTATTTTGAAATAAATTATTTTTTCAAATGTGATAAATATTATAGAATGTAGCGAATACAATTTAATTCTAACTGGGTATTTTATCACTATTCAATATGTTACATCAGACAGAAATATTTCCATGTTTGCCACCAAAGGCAATTGATTTGCTTTGAGTGGTCCCATTTGAAGCTATTGTTATGAGTATACATCAAACTTTCAACATCCAAATTATTCACCTGAAATCAATGTTTTCAATTAAGCACAACTACAAGACATGTGATGTGAGGCAGCTATTTATGTATTTATTGTAGGATATTTCATATATCCAACTTACTCCAATATTTTCTTTATAAGAAAAAAAAATTAAAGTTATTTGAAAAATAAGACCGTATATCATATTAAATAGTATTAAAATAGCTAATATATCAACCAATTAATAACGGGATCAATATGAAATGGAAAAATATTAATAGTTCCCAAAAAATTTAAAATAAAACATGAAATTTCTCGATTCATAGTCTTATCATTTTATATTTCTTATAATTGGAAAAGGAGGCATTCCAAATTTAGTTTAGAAAAAAAATTTTATTTATTTAACATTAGATGTATTTAGAGTCTAGAAGCTATTAGCTTTTTTATTCCATATAACATTTAAACAACCAAACAAATTAGTAACGAAATAGCAATTAAGTTAGTTTCTAAACACAAAAAATAGAAACAAATTCAGATCATTTAGGTGTAGTTTGTTATTTGTTTTGATTTTTGATTATTTTTATTAAGAAAAACAAAACGTGTTTATTTGAAATTTTTTAATTTTACTTTTAAACTTTTCTCAAAACTGTTTAACAAAAAAAAAAAAAAAAATACTTTGATTATTTTTATTAAGAAAAACAACGTCGGTTTATTTTGAAATTTTTTAAATTTTACTTTTAAACTTTTTCTCAAAACTGTTTAAACAAAAAAAAAAAAAATACACAACTGTTTAAAAAAAAAAAAAAAAAAAATACACGTTTTATGAAATGATATATTATAGTTTACGCCATTTTATTTTCTTCTTCTCTCCCTCACACCTTCGTAAATCCTGATCATTTATATTATTATCATTATCTCTCCGCCATGTCTTTATAGACCCTGATTATTTATAAACCCAAAATTATAAAAACAAATTATAGCAATCAACTTTTCTTTTTTCTTTTTTTTTTTTTAGTTTTAATCATCTAGGAAAGTCCGATGCTTACTTTATCCGGATTCGTGCTGGACAGACCTATAAATGATGGTTTGAACTCAAAATCTCTGGTTAAAAGAGTAGGGAATTCTGTCATCTCATCTCACCCATCGGAGTCAATCAACTTTTATTTTTTATTTAAATACGAGTCAAAATACATTGCTAAAAATATTTTGAATGCTCTTCTCTCTCTAAGATCGGATAGGCCAGGTGCAGTAGCAATCTCTCCTGGTGAGGCAATAGCTTACCAATGCGATGATTAGCAGCTGGTCCGAGAGGATGATCAGCCACACAGAATCATGGTATGCATTTTCGTGTACTGGCTAAGGCGTTACGTTTGTCTGGTGGAGATCATATTTACTCTGGTACCGTAGTAAGTAAACACGAAGGGGGAAAAAGACATCATTTTGGGCTTTGTTGATTTACTGCGTGATGATTTTTTTGAAAAACCTAAATTATAGGAACAAATTATCCCATAGCTAAATTATTGCTAAAAGGATTTGCAATATATTTTCTAGATTCAGAAACGGATAAATCAATCGTAATTCTATTGTTTTGGTAGTCTTTGATGATTCTTATGTACTTCTAGAGAAGTTACAGTTTGTACCCAGAATACAATATTTCCTGTTACGACATTTCAAGGAGCGGGTCCTAAATTGTTGTGATTAAATTAAATTAGAAAACCAATAAATCTTTTCCTTATTTATAACTCAAGCTAAGCATTTCATAGGTCTATTAGTGGGACGGCTTGAAATTGGACACAACCTGCCGCCCTCTCCCCCTTTTTCTCTGGAAACTTACAACCTCTTTGTTTTTTTTTTCCTCCACGAACGGCCATTGATAAGCTCTCACCGGGGTCATCTTTTTTTTTTTTTGACAGATTTAAGTTATTGTCGCTCATATATTAAGATTTATTGTTATCTATATATTGATATTTTGTTCTCATATCTAATTCTAAGTAATTATTACCACCATTATGATGATTTTGTCTAACGTCTTTTATTATCTAGAAAGAAATACAGGTCTCCTCTCCAATAAAAGGAAGAAATTTAAAGGTATTCATATCGGATAGGAAGACTATAGAGTCGAACAGTGGCTATGGATAGCTATAAAGTGGAGCAAGCAATCGCCCATGGCACAAATATTGTACTCTATCAATTCGATCAGATACTTATATTTTTTTTATTCTTTATGTAAATGGTTTATTATTGACTTCTTATAGAAAATATAGACATATATTCATCTATATCTCATATCTGTTTCCAATTAATGAAATTCTATTTTTATTTTTCTAAAAAAAAAAGGTCTATTAGTAAAAAATCCAAATCTTTTTACACATTTACAATTTGATTTATACCTATTATATCTTAATTTAAAAATAAAATTTTGCTTGTATCTATTTCGTCAAAGTTAAAAATTAATATCCTATTATTAGACCAAATTATCATTATAAATGGATTTCATTATTTGAAAAATAAAAATTAATAGGACCTTCAACACATAATTGAAAATTGTAATCAAAACCAAATTTACATGGTTTATTAAAAAAAATTACAATTATGGCGTTTTCCTTTATTTTTGTAAAATTTACAAGGTGCCAAGTGCATGTAACTCTCTCCTGCTTTATCGATAAAAATTTAATCCCATTGTAAAATATTTTAAAAACTAGGTCCTTGTAAGTAAGATAAATAAGAAGACCCTAAAAGCTTCAAAAACTTACCAAGTCAAACAAAAATACCAAAAAGAAGTTTCTATCATATAATTCATGCATCCAAGCAATCTCCTCTTAGGATTGCTATCAGTCTCTGTGTTTTCAAGATCGCTTCTTGACCACATCTATGGGATATTAGAGATCACGCATTCGTTTATGAGCTTGAGAAAGTTTGGCTATAAGTAGAAGAGAGAAAGAGAGATACAAGATGGATGAGAGTCACAATAGAGATAAAAGGCAGAGGAGAAGATGCAATCTCGTTCTACTTAAAAAAAAAAAAAAAAAAAAAAAGAAAGAAAAAAAATAGGGCTAATTGAATTAGGAGAAAGACAAAAGTGAGAGAGATTAGCTATGTAAATGAGCTGAGCTGACTCGCGAACTATTCGAGCTCGAGCTTACTCGTTTAGTAAACGAGCTGAGCTCTAGCCTAACGTTGTTTAGTTCGAAAACTCGTCGAGTGTTATCGAACTTTTATATATACATATATATAATATTATTTTAAGTTCCTCGAGTCAAACTTAAGTCTAAAATTTTAGGCTCGTTGATTTTTTAGGTAAACTAAATTCTATCGAACTGAACTTTAAGCCTGATAAATTCGAGTTCGACTTAGTTCATTTATTTCCTTAAAAAAGATTGAAATAAGCAATAGAAAAATCTGATTTTCTGAAATCGCAAAAAAAATAAAAAATTAAATGCAAATATTACTTAGTTGTCCACGTAATCTTTCTAGTATAGATCCACTTTTGCATTACACATATTAGAGTTCGAGGAATTTTTACGTGACATTGAATCCAGGGCACGACAATGTGATAGGTAATATAGTAGAGTTACAATAGGTGAAATTAAGCATTTTTTATGTCATAATTTCGCTCTATAGGGTATTTTTGTAATTTCGTTTGGCAAATTCAAACGGTAAAGAGGACCCTTAGACCAGGAAATGGGACCATAACCCACGAACTAAAAGCAGCCCTTGTTACTGTTCCTGCAATTATAATACCGGAAGTGCCTGGCCCATGCTTCAAAACCTTCTTATTTTCTATATCAATATCTCCACGCGCTTTCTCTCTATTTTACATCCACGCGGTTACACAATTGGATTCTATACAATATTCACGCGCGTGACCACCGTACAAAAGTGGGTATCATTTTCGTATATTTTTGCTATTTCATTAAAACAGTAGTGTTTTTTTCATTACAAGATCCTTAATCCTTCTTCTCGACCTCTCTCCGTTGTCAGAATCAAACGAGTCCAAAAAAAACCACCACCATCTCCAAACGCTGCAACAAGGGACAGTGAAAGCAAGTGTTTTTGTAAGCCGCTTTCACACAACGCGAAAGAGAAAAGTGCTTTGCTTTCTGCTTTTTGCGTTTTGCTTGCTGAATTTCAGTGATACTAGTCACTCCTTCCACTTCTCTCTAGCTTAGCCTTTACGGACACTGGCTCCTCCGAAATCCTAGGTATCTCATTTTCTCTGTTATTCAATTTTTTTGCTTCCTTTTGTTCTCAAAATGAATACTTATTCTTGTACTTTTAGCAGCATAAGGTAGCATTAATCTTGGAGCTTTAATTAGCTGTTTGTGTAGTTGGGTTTTGTTGCTTTATGGGATCGGTGGATTATGGATTTTGGATCTTATTTATAGAATTGAGTTTGCTTTGTTTCTAGTTAATTGATTAAAGTTCTGTTCTTTTTTAGATCTAATTGTTCTTGAAGCCGCTTGCTTTATGTGAGAAGAGATTGTGATACCATTTGTTTATTGCTATGATTATTCTTATCACTCGTGTTACATATTTTTTCATGTTAAGGGAATAGATAGGATAATCGCTCTTGCATTGTTGTTTAAGCAGCTAAAGGAATTCCTTCAGTACTTATAAGGAATAAAAATGTTCAAAATGAAATGTCTCTTTTTTTAAATTTCATTTATTAATTGTTGTTTATGTGATAAGAACCAGTAATTTGCATTTCAATTTCGTGTTTTATGTGAATTTAGATAATGATAAAGATCAGCTGCTGTTTTTAGAACTAACTGTTTGGTTATTGGGTATCAATTTCACGCATACACACTTTTGGAGACTCCCTCATGAAAATGGGAGTAAGCAAATTTCATGAATTAGTGCATGATGATGAGTTCGTGAAGATCATGGTATCTGGATTATTAAACAGTTTTGTTTCAATGATGTTGAGCTGGAAAATAGGAATATGTGGAAAAATCTGCCCTTGTTTTTATTCTTCCCCAAATCTAAAATTAGTTTGGACAAATTTATGTATTGTTAAGAATTCTTCCCAACTTTTTCAAAAAGTACTACTTATTGAATGTTTGAAATACTAGTTGTGCTTTTCTAATGAAAGGTTTGTATGATACTATGATTCTCCAATGGTCGAAAGCATGTATAACTTTACTTGAAAATACAAATAAAATAAAAAAATAATATAAAGAAGGTTGTAGACCGACCTTTATTGCTGCTGCTGTTATATAATTCATTCTATTATTATATGTGTAACTGGTGTCATTTTATGCAGTGCTGAAAATATTTTTGCAATTCACCCAATAAATGAAGAATTGAGTTGGTGGCGTGTGAATCCCAAGTTCATGTGAGCATGGATAAAGTATCACCAGACTGTCCATACCCAGGATGTTTTTTCTGTGTCATGAAGGAAGGAAATCCAAGTAAGCGAAGAGCAAGTATACTGAAATTTTTCAGGGAACTACCTTCACAAGATGATGATGGCCAGGTTCTTCCAATCAGTGGCCTTTGGAACACTGCCATGGCACATCCCAATGATCCTGAGTTCATCGAATTGGGAATATTTGAATGCATGGCAGCACTTATATGGAAGGGCTTAAAGAATCGTCGGTGGCTTTCTCATGATCAAAACATATACATTCCTTATTATGCTGCTCATATTATTGGATCCTACACCATGAATATGGAAGAATTTGCAGAAAGTGCTGTCCATGCAGGTGTTATTCCTCCCTTGGTTGAGCTTTTAAGGGGGAGGCTGACATGGGTCGAACAAAGGGTGGCAGTACGAGCTCTAGGTCACTTGGCTACATATGCCAGCACTTTTCCTACTGTGGCAAGTCATGGCGAAATCCTTGAGCTTTCTATTCAACTTGCAATGAGTTCACTAGAAATAGTTTACTCACATTTCTACCAATATGTTGATAGACGACTAAGTTATCACTGTGATTTGCTAACTCGTGGCATGGGAGGCGTTGAAATGGAGTCTAGGAAAGCAGAGGAATGGGCCAGTCAGTTGCAATGCTGGTCACTTCAGCTTATTAATTGCTTTGCTTTCAAGCCTGAGTTTCTTCCGACCATATGCAAGCCTGAATTCTTAGTGAAATTGCCTGGCATGTGGGGTGGACTCGTTAATGAAAATTCACCTGCTGGTATTGGCTTGTTAAGAACAATTTGTCATCATAAGCTTGGTAGGGGACCTGTTGCTAGCTGTCCTGGTATCATTGAGGCATTGTGCAACATCGCTCGATCATCTGATGATTGGCAATATATGGCTATAGATTGTCTTCTTTGGTTGCTTCAAGATCCAAATACTTGTCATAAGGTAAATTGAATATTTACATAATATGTTCTTTCTCTTTACTTTCCTGTGTTGTTATTACAATGAAATTTGTCTTCCAAATTGTATTGATGATAGTTTTGCTGACTCATTTTGGAAATTATGGATGAAGTGAGTGATCAAACTTTTGGAAGAGAGAAATGCAATGTCGCATACAACTTAGCTCATTATAGCACCAATAGTGAGATGTAAGCAAAGACCAAGTTTATAAAAACCAAATCTTCCCCTTTTTTTTTTCGTAGATCACTCCTAATTGAAAGCGACATAAGATTTCCCATATGATTGCTACATATTGAAGTTTTATGACCATAATAAAAATAAATATTGGTACAAGTTACCCCAGAATTAGAGAACTAAAAGGCTTTAGACATTTCATAATTTTCCACTATGATTTTTTATCAGAGAACTCTCTCCATGCATTTTGTTGCAACTCGCCCCCAATCCTATGTTCTTTAGGCATAAAAAAGCATCTATAATATTTATCCATGGGTGGAGTGAAGAAATTTACTAATAGTGATACAAGTTGTAATAAAAAAAATAGAGTTGCTCAAAGTCTGAATCTCAATACAATTGATCTCATGAACACTCTTACGAGAATTCATCAAATGCTAATGAAAGTACATGTGTGTGTCTGCACGCATGTGTGTATGTAAGCCACAATTGCTTCTTCAAGTTGTTTGAATTGGGCTTGCAAGTAGTTTGCTAGGTGTGTTACAAAAACAATGCAATTTATGCTTTTTTTTTCGGTTAATTTAACTTGCATTAAGGTTTGAATCCACTACCTCATAGCTGTAGATGACTCCAATATCATGGAGCCAAAGTTCATTGGCCTTTTGTATATTATTTTAGGTCTTTTCATACAATATTATCACAATATGTAAGCCAAAAAAATCCTATCATAAAATTTTGTAAATTTCATTGGAATTTTATATTTTCATATTTGGTATGGATGAAAATGTTCATTTTACTCATAAATTCAGTTTTATGGAATCCAACATAACTAAACCTAATTTTATAATTTCTAAGTGAATATAAAACTATTTTCCTATTTGTTTACTTCAAATTTATTTATACTAAACAGGGATAATACAGAATTAAAATCCTTTGTTTATTTGATATTTGGGTGTTTAATTTGTTTTGTTTTTTTAGCACCAAACAGAATCTTAGAATCATCCTGCTTAACTAGTGTTAAACAAATTAGAGCAGACTATAATTCATATAGATGAAACTGATAGCTTGATGCTTGAAAAACATCTCCACATATTAGTTGAAATAACCATTAGATATTTATTTTGGATATTCATATTTAAATTGCATTTTTGGCTTGTCGTTGGACCCATGGCACAGGTGATTGATAAGGCAGTACCTGCACTTATAGACCTCGCGGAGATAACAGCTCTAGGTGATCATAAAAAACTTGGGGATTCCATTATTAATGTTCTTCAGGATTGTATCCAATCTCAAGGGACAGGGCGTAACTCTATTAGTAACCGCACAAAAGAACTGATTGAAGAACTGTTAAGTTCAAAACAAAGATTGAAATGGGAAAAGAATATGCCAAAAGAAGATCTACATATTAAGCAGGCAGCGGCATTAGTGGTCAAGCTTGAAGGAAATTCTCTGTTCTCATCGGGAAATATATCTGGAGCTGCATCAAAGTATTCTGAAGCATTGTCACTGTGTCCAGTGAGATCCAAGAAAGAGAGAGTTGTTCTATACAGTAACAGAGCTCAATGTCATCTTCTGTTACAACAACCCATGGCTGCTATAAGTGATGCTACACGTGCACTTTGTCTTCACAACCCTCTTAATCGTCATGCAAAAAGCCTATGGAGAAGAGCTCAGGCTTATGATATGCTTGGATTAGCTAAAGAGAGTTTGCTTGATGCCATTTTGTTCATTAATGAATGTTCTCAATCAAATGATCCTGATCTATGTCTGAGGCAAAATAAAGTTCCTGATTATGCTGAGCGCCTTGTCAAGAAGCAGATGCGTGCGGCATGGTTATTTAGAGAGGCAGCTATCAAACATGGAGGTGTCCACTGTGAGGGTGATGCTGGTGATGTTTATCGCCAAGATAGTGATGATTCAGAATGGGAAACAGCTAGTGAAAGTGATATAGGAAATGATGGAAGAGACGAAATGGGTGACGATGACGATGATAGTGAATGGAAGAATGAGGATGAGAGGAAAGATAAATATGATAAGCCATCATTGAAAGGTAACATTCAGCATTTCTTAGTAATTAATTCCATGTGATTATTATTTACCTAGTGTTAAACTTTCAAAGAATAGGAGAAAACTTGTAAAAATTGCAATATTTGACCATATGATATGTCCATAACAAGATTTTCATGGTTCATCCGATTGAATTATTGTAACAAGTGATTGATCACATTCTCATTTGATCAAACTTAAATTTGTTGTTCACTATGAAAAATAAGTAGGTGGCAATGTAAATTTTGCAATGTGGTGTGAAAATTTCTGACTGTTTTGCATAATAAAAGGTTTGCAATGCCTTTAATTATTTGCTGATCTGCCCCTTCCGAAGTTGGGCTGTTGACTGCTATGTTGTACAGTAGATTCATGTCTATTGAGAACATATATTGACTGCCGAAATTACCCTTTGACCAGGAAATTATAGAATGCAATGGTGTTCAAATGTTTATCCATCATTAGTAGCCTAGTGAGACTTGTATTTATTTGTCTTATCAGATAATGGCTTGCTTCGTGTAACTTTCATACTGTGTGGGATTGCCATAGATAATATTTCATTAATAATCTACATTTTTCTGCGCAAACTAGGCATTGAATTCGAAGAGAATTTGAACAATGAAATGATTTATCACATTGTCCATTTCTCATCAAACCACTCTATTTGTTGGCAAACTAGAGTTTCAAGTGCTGCATGCATAGCATGTATTTTATTTTGTAATGACCTTTTCATCTTGGCCTAATGCATAAATCTGACCCATTTGGCTGATTATCATTATAACTTCTTAAACTTTGCGGGGTTGCAGTCATGATCTTGCACAATTATAATTCAATAATGACTATGTTTCTCACCAAAATGAAATATCTTTGTAGGGATCCAATTATAATTCTACATTTTCACATTTCATTTTGGCGAGGAGAATAGTTGTTACTGAAATATGAAAGTACATGGTCGTGATGAGTTCCCTGTAAACTTCAGTGGCTACAAGGATAATCATCGAAAGTACAGGGTTAAATCTATGCATTGGGCTTTTCATCTTTAGTTGACTTATATTCAACTGCAATACAAATGCTTATCCAGTGACATGTTGTGCCTAACTGCATATACTTATGTTTCATTTTGAACTCCTAAATTTTATACGTTTGATTTGGTACAGACATAAAGCATGGGTTCAATGTTCAGCTTGCGGAAGATGAATCTTGAATGTGGATGGATGACAGAAAAGACGGCACGAATGAAAAATGTTTTCACCCTTTATAGTCATATTTGACTTTGAAACAACTGCTACATCTTGCTCAGTTTCATGGTAAAAGAGTTCAATAGGAATATGTAATTGGTCATTTGTGTTTAGAAGATAATAACTTTTTTGTAATTTTTCTCATTTCTTTAATTTTTGTTCTCAATTCTTGTTTATTTCAACTGTAGAAAATGGAAGAGAAGGTTTTTGAGTGTAGAGAACAATGGTAGCCTAGAGGATGTGAAGCTGTGTTTTTGAGTGACTTGAAGAACTTTTGTATATAGAAAACCCTTTTGGATATTTGAATTATTAATACTTGGATGATTACAATAGTTGGAAATTTTATATTTTTATGTTGGAAAAAAGTATAAGAAGGTGATATGCTTCATATTTTTCCAATTCTAGGTGTGACATTTTATTTGACAAAAAGAGGTTTGTTTACGCCAGTACACATGATTATAAAATTTATCTGATGTTGCTGGGTAGGCCTGGGAAGGAGAACCTAATCCGGTCATAGTTAAAGGTCTTCACTTTTCTTTGCAGGTGTGTTTAATGAAGATCGAATTCAATAGCTTTTTTTATCCGTCTAGCCTGCGTTGTCCATTGAGTCACAATCCGTAGATAATAATATCTTTATTTTTATTACTTGTATGACTTGTATATTTGCTGTTAATAAACAATAAAAATTATGAGAAACTTATGAAAATAAGTTATAATAATAATAATAATAATAATAAGAAGAAGAAAAAGCCTTGATATAATTTAAAATGAATCCCAAAATTTGATATAAACAAATTCATTAAGCTTAGTAAATACCGAGTAAATTTGATTCAAATAACATTATGTTTATATTAAATATAGAAAAATATATGAAGAACGAAAATATTACACCTTTAAACTTATTGGATGGACCAGAGAAAAACTTGCGGTGCAGGCCATTTTCACCAAATTCCAATTAAAATTTAAAGGGGGAGACATATTATATATGATGGTCCTAACGAGGAATGTCTTCTTTTGCTCTACTCATAGTTACTGATAATCATCCTTGGAATGACAAATTTCTCTCTTTGATTTGAGATATTAAGCGTTTGATCCAATAGCATGCTTACATTAAGCTTTGCTTCTGTGTTCGTGAAGTTAACAAATCTGCAGATTGTTTGGCTTCTTTTAGCCTTAAGCATCACCTGGTCTATGAGGAATATTGTTCAATACCTTGCATATTAGTTAATTTGATTTCTTTAAAGCAACTTCATTCTAATATATATCTGCTCCTTAAAAAAACTTTGGATAGAAAATATTCTTTTTCTTTTATTAAATACTTCCTCCGTTTCATTTTGTTTGCTCGTTATTCTATTTTTGAATGTTCCAAAATGTTTGCAAGGTTTCTAAATTTAGATACGTAAATAATTACTTTTGTCATAATAACATTTATAATTGTTTATTAAATGAAGGACTTTTATTAATATCTTAATGAACTAAAGGTGAAAAATGGCAAAATAAATTTTATTGATTAAATTCTTAATATGCGTATTCTGTCAAACAATGTAAACAAAATGGGATAGAGAGAGTACTAATTTTCTCAAACGTACATTGCACGTTATTTGTATTGATTTTTACTCATTTCAAATAAATGTAATTTAATTTATATATATAAACTAGGCCGCTCCCAACATTTAGCGCGGCATATTAATATTTATGTATGAGAAGCGAAATAAACTTTTCAATAAGAAAAATAACTAAGAACTAAAAATCATAAACAAACAATCCAAAAGGAAAAAGACAATAAAGATAAAGAAATAACAACACTCACCATTTCTGCTGTTATTTCCAAGTTATACCAGCCAATGTTATGAACAAAATAACATAGAGTTCAATAAACAAAATAAAATAAATTAATAGAAAATTTAGTACATATTACATCTCTAAATAATAAAAGTATTATATATTTGTCTTTGTTGTCTAAAAAAAAAATACATCTCTTTCGTATTTTGCTTTTTCTACACAAAATAAAATAAAAATAATATTTAAAAAATAACAATATCACCACATACCAACATAACTGGGTACAAATTAAAATTGATTCAAAGAGGAAATGATATTTTTCTTTTCTTAATTCACGTATACTGAAGAAAATGCAATTTGATAGGAAAAAATAGACAAATAAATTTTTTCAAAATAAAAGTAGGATATATAAAATCAGATACATAAAATATATAGTCACGGTATTTAAAAGCTGAAATTGAGTTATGAAAATTAAAATATGCCATTTTTGCATTTTTTTACCGGTAGAAAAATGAACCACTTCTCCTAAGCTATTTGCTTCAAATAAGACATAACCACATATCCTTCGATACATTATTGATTTTGGGCGCCAACTTTTGCAAAACCACCCCTCTGAATTGAATGTCATACAAAAGCATCACATATATAAATATATATTTCTCTTGCAACTTTTAGAGAGACGAAAAGAAAAAATGATATATTTATTTTCTAATTCTCATTTATGTAAGTGCAAAAAAGATTATTTAACAGTGTTAAGAATCTCACATCAACTAAATACCAAATCCACAAAGGGCATATAAGGATGCTAAGTTAGCTAGCTAATTGGTTAGTACTAATCTTTTAACAATGGTTGGTCCAAGCTCCAGTTCACCTCTACCCTTTCAACTTCTAATAAACAGTAAAAGAGAAGTAAAAAAGAAGGAAATGAAGATTAACAATTAAATTAAGAATGAGATAAAAATTAGGTAAAACTTAATTAAGAAGGGGAGACGGTTGGTTGGACGTTACAAATTTATGGAATCTCAAGCGAGTAAAAAGCAAATACTCTCTCAGTTTTCTTACTTCAAAGAAAATTTCCATTTTGAGCGTCCATATTATATAGAGAATTTTATATTAATGCTCTATTTGTCTCCGTAAAATATTTTTTTTGAAACATATTTTTTTAATAATTTATTTTCCGTTGTTTGGTTGTAATATTGAAAATTAATTAAAAATATTAAAGTCTTTATCTCATAATACCAAAAAAAAATAATAATAGAAATTCTATAATTTAAAAATTTTATTGTCAAATATGAAAAGAATGCAAAATATCGGTGGCTGGTGGTGGTGGTCGGTGGTAAATGGTGACTGGTGGTAATGGCTATGATGATTAATAAATTAAAAAAATATGGATTTATAAGGTTTACCAATGTCCGAGAAATGTTTTACTCTCTAAAAAATGAGAAGTTGTTTTCTTAAAAAATGACTTAATTATCCTTTGATTAGGAAAATATATTCCGTTGACTTATTTTTCTGAATGTCCCAAACAACATCAAATTGTGAAAAATATTTTCCTGCAAGTTATTTTACGAAAACAAACAGAGTTTAACTAAAAATTTTGCGAAGGATGCTAAAAGAGAAAGTCTAAAATGCCCTAGCATCCAGCTTTCACCTTCTACCCTTTCAACTTCTAAGTAAACCCCATAAAGAGAATTGTAAAAAAGCAAGGAAATGAAGAAATTCGGTCATTTAACCAATTAAATTAAGAATGAGGGATAAAAGATTTAGGCATGAAAACTTAATTAAGAAGGGGAGACACGGATTGCGTTGGACGTTAACACAATTTTATGGATATCTCAAGCGAGTAAAAAGCATCAACTCTCTCAGTATTTTCTCTTACTTCCCAAGAAAATTTCCATTTTGAGCTCCACTTATATTATTAGAGAATTTTTATTAATTAATGCTCATATTTGTCTCCGCTTTAAAACCTATTTTTTGAAAACATATTTTTTTTACAATAATTTATTTCCGTTTGTTTGCGTTGTTTAATATTGAAATTAATATAAAAATATTAAAGTTTTTTCATCTCATAATACCAAAAAAAAAAATAATAATTAGAAAATTACCTATAATTTTAAAAATTTTATTGTCAAATATGTAAAAGGGAATGCAACCAATATCCGGTGGCCTGCGGTGTGTCGCCGTGGATGCGGTGGATTACAATGGTGACTGGGTGCGGTAATGGCTATGCATGATTAAATAAATTTAAAAAAAAATGATGGATTTATAAGCTTACCAACTGAATTCATGTCCCGAGACAATGTTTTACTCCTCTTTAAACAAAATGAGAAGTTGCTTTTCTTAAAAAGAAAAGCAAACTAAACCTATATTTGGGAAGCATCCTTTTAAAAAGTTCTTTTTTGAACACGTTTTGATTTAGAAAAATATATTTCCGTTGACTTATTTTCTGGAATGTTCGCCCAAAAACTATACACTCGTAAATTGTGAATCAAAATATTCTTCCTTGCTCAGAAGTATATCTATTTTACGAAAACAAACAGCGAGAGTTTTAACTAAAAAATTTATTGTCCCTGAAGGATCGCTAAATAGGAAAGTCTAAAAATGCCCCTTCATAATAACCTCTCTGTTTACTGCTTCTTAAAATATTTTCCTGCAAGTTATTTTACGAAAACAAACAGAGTTTAACTAAAAATTTTGCGAAGGATGCTAAAAGAGAAAGTCTAAAATGCCCTTCAATAACCTCTGTTACTGCCTTTATTTCAATTGAATTAATAAGGATAGTGGCAAACAAATTGTGGGTTGGTCAATTAATGAGCTTATGTTTCTAAATTAAGAGTAATTGTTACAGTTCAGTAGAAATGTGCTCAACTTTACAAATGTGAGCAGGAATAAGAGTATTGCATTGACCAGGTACTTTAATATGACCACACATTTTAATTGTTGGACCCTGCTTATGAAAAAAAGTTTTTATGCCGATATTACACCTCATTAATCTGTGCACAAATTTATCAAACAAATTGAATTGAAATCCTTTTGTAGGCTATATATATACGCGTTATATAGAAATGTCCTCAACTTTATACATATGGGTATGAATATGACAATTTTTCTTGTAAAGTTTTCATAATACGGTCACATATTTGTACAGTTGTATCCTACCTTTGCAAATTTCTTTTAATTTGACACTATACCTTACTAACATCGGCACAAATTTTCATCATAGCAAACAAATTCAATGCTCTTCTTTTTGGACTGAGCATATGAAGAAGATAAGTTCGTCATGTCTGCAGACAACTTTCTATTTACTAGTGCTTTATTTTTGAAAACGATATAAATCTACTAAATTTGAAATTGAATAAACTCTTGCAATCCTTAAAGATTTTGACTAATAAATGTACCCTTGAAATACTCTAGCAATGAGTTGGTTTCTCCCCATTAATTGCGTATTTAAGTTTGATTAAGTGTAATACAGCCAAAAAATGGGTAAAATTTTCTATTTAACTATTTTCTTAATCTTATAGCTTTTTCTATTTCCTCTAGAGTAAAAACAGAGGGAGTAGTAAAATGTGAGCGAGTTTCACTCTACTAACGAAACGTCATGTCAGCGATAAAAAAAGACAATAATTTATATATATATATATATATATCGAAACGATCATAGTCATCGCCTGACCCATATAGTCAGCGCATATCAAAAAAAGAACAAATAAATTTATATAGTAACTATAATATACTACGTACTTATATATTGCAACTTTTAGCATTATTTATACCTATATTGATAAGAATAAATTAGAAGGAGATAAACTTTTAAGCATTATTATATATATTATAAGAATAATTAGAGAGATATGAAAAACAAATGGTACATTTATTTTCTAATTCTCATTTGTGCTAAGTGCAAAAAAAAATTATTTGATTGTAAAAGAGAGGGAAAGGAAGATTAACCGTTAAATTAAGAATGAGATAAAAATTAGGTAAAATTCAATTAATAAGGGGAGATAGTCGGCTATACGTTACAAATGTATGGAATCTTTATTCACATAAAAGTCATAAATTCATCCAACATCAATAAATTTTGACTAATTCATGCACAATCTACACTATATATAAAAGTAAGAACGAGGGAGAAATAATGAAATTATTGATAATAACCTTAATGAAAGTTTAAAAATCCTAAAATATCCTTTTGGATAGTTAATAATAATTTGAGTTTATTAAATAATATGAGTTTTTAATAATTGATAAATTGTGATATTAAATTATTAATCAATTGAATTTTTTAATAATTTTTTATTAATCGATTTAAAAAGTTTACATTCAATTAAATCTCAGTTACATTCAATTATTTCTCAATTTTACAATGAATTAATTACTAAATCAATCAATAATCATATTTATATTACTAAATCAATCAATATTACAATGAATTAATTACTAAATCAATCAATAATCATATTTATCTTTAATGGTATCCATGAGTATTTGTTTAAACTTTAATTTCTATAATACATGTAATTATTTATTTTATTGCAACACCGGAGTATATCTCCAACTTTTTCTTTTAACATTTGTGCAAACTAAATTGTTATATAAAACAATATAAATATTTCAAATGTATAAGGAAAAACTATGAAAAAATAATTTAAGAATTTTTAAGATCAAAATGATTTTATTTTCTCAAAGATGTAACTTGGTTGGATATTTAATATAACATATGATATTTTCTTTTAAAAGAAAAACAGTATGAACATATTATTTTTTAATAAATATATATGATAATGAGAGATTTGAAAATTTTATATTTTATGTTAAATTTATTGTTTAAATATTTGATTTAATTTTTATTATAATTTAAAATATTTTATTTAGGAGAGAGTCAAAAAAGTATAATTTTTATAATAAATTTTCAAATAAAATATACATAATTTATACATAATAATTTAAAATATTTTATTTAGGAGAGAGTCAAAAAAGTATAATTTTTATAATAAATTTTCAAATAAAATATACATAATTAAGTCTTTCAAAATTTTTACTTTTAAAATTTATTTTTAAAGAAAATGAAAAAATATATATGTGTGTAGAATGATGAACAATTGAAAATTTTAATTTTAAAAATATATGTAATATTTTATTTTTATATCTATGTATTTATATATATTGAAACAACTTATTAGGAGACATTGTAGTTATAATGAATTTTAAATAAATGATGATATAAATTAAGCTGAAATGTGTATGTATATACACACTGTTATTTTATTAATTAATCGTTATATTTATATTAATTTTATATGAAATTTTATTTTAACATTATAAAATCTAAACAATATAAGATAAAAATTATAATCAATATTTAATATCAATAAATAAAAATGAGTATAAATAATAAATAAAAAATGACCTAAAAAATTAAACGAATATAAATAACGATATAATCAACATACAATGCGCGTCAGAAAATAACTAGTTATCATTAAAGAATAGGAGAGAAATTGGAGAGAGAGACATATTTTCTATTCAAAAAGTAACAAATTTTTTTCAAATGAGTGAAAAACAAATACTAAAATATTATGAGAGGGTTTCACTCTTCTAGGGAACCGCCACATCATGATCAAAGAAAAACAATAATTCTCTTTTACGTACATATAATGATATAATGATTTCTATTAATTTTTGTTAAAATTATAATATTATGAACATTTTATATTATTAAAATTTGAAGAGCATCCTCAAAATAAGAAAATAAATAATTAAATAATTAAATAACTTGTTAAGGGAAGGATATATTTATAAACATTATTACAATTTGCAACCAAAAGTTTGATGAAAATAAAATTACTTATCAAACAATTTAAATTTTCTTATAGTAATTAAAATTAATTAACTTAATTTTTTGTGTATAGTATAATATCATACACTATCTATATTATTAAAATATGAAAAATCAATATTAGGTTTCATATTTTATTAATCAAAATAATAAATTTTTATTATTACATTAGTTTTAGAAAAACTAAAAAATGTGTAATTTTATACCAATGAATTTCCTATTATGAAAAACAAGCCCGTTACTGATTCATTATGCATATTGAGAAATTTATTTTCTTATAATTTTTCCATTAAGGTTTAGACAAAGTAAGGAAATAACAACATGAATCAACCAAAAAGAATTAATTTACAAAATAAGTTATTTAAATGTGTAAAGCAATAAAGTGTTAGGAGTTGATTAGTTTTTGGATTCTGTTGAATAAAGACCTATTCTTTAGGGAAGTGCTATTCCTTAGGAGAGTCCTAGTCTTATGGATTTATTTGTTTTGCTGTTTACGTTTTGTTTTTGTCTTTATTGTAAGGCTATATATAGCAAGTCTGAACCGTTTAATCCTCAGCAAATAAGAATTCCAGTTGTTTAAAGTTCTTTGTTCAAGTTTCTCTTAAGCTTTAACGATTTAGGAACGCTGATACGTTTTTTGAGAATTCCTGTGAATTAAAGGGACCAATTACTTTAGGGAAAGGCTATTCCTTAGTGAGCGAGAAGTACCAAGTCTATGGGATTTTATTTGCTTTTGCTGGATCTTTACGATTTTTGTTTTTTGTCTTTATTGTGAACAGGGGCATTCTTATACCACTATACTCAGGCAAAAGGTTCCGCCTTGAAACACACCCGTTATCACACATCCTCAAGGCCAATTAAGACAATTCCAGGTTTGTTTACGAGAGCTCTCCTTTTGTTTCCAAGTTTCTTCCCTTTAAAGCCTTTACACCGACATTGGTTATCAGCAAAGCCCCCACCTGAGATCCGGTTTTTTCTTGGAAACCGAGGAGGCGGACCAGTCATTGTCCACATCTTTCAACGTTTCGTCAATTCACGACCACTGAGTAGGGACTTGGGGCAAGATTGGGACAACAAAACCTTTTAACAAAGGCTCCCTCACTTTATGACAGTGCGTCCACTTTCATGGATCATTGGACGGGTGAGCGTTCGGATGGAAAAAAATGCGTTAGAAGCAAAAGGTTTGGTATCAGAGCCCCCACTGGGTTTCTGAAACGAGAAGTTGCAATCTTCAACGTTTGTCAAACACTGAGAGAATGGCAGATGACAAAACTTTAACAAAGCTCCCTCACTTTGACGGTCACTATGATCATTGGAGTGAGTTGATGGAAAATTTGCTTAGAGCAAAAGGTTTGTGGAATTTGGTGGAGCAAGGCTTCACGGAACCAACAGAAGGGACGAAATTAACTGAGGCTCAACAGGCAGAGCTGGATGATGCAAAGACCAAGGACTATCAGGTAAAACATTACCTGTTCCAGGCTATTGATCGAACTGTTTTCGAACAAATCTTAGACCGTCGTACATCTAAGATTGTTTGGGACTCACTGAAACGGAAGTTTGGAGGAAATCAGAAGGTGAAGAAATCTCTTCTCAATGCCTTAAGAAGAGAATTTGAGATCCTGGAAATGCGAAATGATGAAACGATTACAGAATATTTTGCTCGGGTGATGTTAGTTGCAAATAAAATGAGAAGAGATGCCAGACAAGAAGATTGTAGAGAAAATTCTACGCACCCTGACAGAGAAGTTCACTTATGTTGTTGTATCCATCGAAGAATCCAAGGATACAGACACAATGTCCATTGATGAGTTGCAGAGCTCATTAGTGGTACATGAACAGAAATTTCGTCGACCCAGTAACAGTAATGAAGACCAGGTGTTGAAAATAGAAGGTCGATCGAGCACAAGCAATCGAGGAAGAGGAGGTTACAGAGGAAGGGGGCGTGGAAGAGGTAGAACCAATTTTGACAAGGCTACTGTTGAGTGCTACAGATGTCATGATTTAGGGCATTTTCAGTATGAATGTCCTAAGAAAAATGAAGCTAACTATACAGAGCTCGATGAAGAAGATGAGATGTTACTAATGGCCTCGCTCCGCCACTCGCCCGCACCCCAAGCCACCCGGTCGTCGAACAAGTCAGGCGCTCGAAAGAGCATCGGATTGAGCACAAAAGCCAATCGAGCGCCAAGACGCCGAGAGGTTACAGAAGGAACAGGGCGGGCGGTTCGGAAGAGCGGCCTCCAGAACCCAATATCTTATTTGACAAGGCATCTTACCCTGTGGACCGTTTGCCGCTTCTAACACGAATAATCGTCCATGACTTTTAGCGGAGCGCATACAGATTCTTTCCAGTATTGAATGTCTTCCTAAAGGCAAAAATTTGAAAAAGCTGTTTAAACTATATCACAAGAAGGGCTCGATGAACCGACAGCCATCTGTGAGGATTAGTTCACTAATGGGCCTATTCGTGTACAACATGGACAGCCCTACACAAGACACCACTTCCCCAGCCCAAGTGGACGCCATAAACGTTTCTCCGAGATTCTGGGTTGAGCTTCCAATCAACTCCCAGGGTCTTGGTCGATAAAAACCAACCTGATCTGGTTTTGCAATTTAGACACAACGTTTCAAAACCGCACCATCAGCAGTGTTCCACACAAACCTTGGCGGAAAACAAACAACCAGAATGAACCACGGTTTTTCTGGGAAAATTGGGACTGTGGAAGATTAATTTCCTTGCAGGGACACCTGTCTTAAGACAACTGGTTGGGGAAGTTTTTTTGGGCCGCACAGCAGAACTCTCAAAGAAACAAATCTGCCTTTAAGTCGGGTCTGGACCAGGCCCTTTCAAGAAACAAGCGTGAGGTGGCAGGTTCGCTGTTCACAAAAATGAGAGCTTGTAGCTGTCATAATGTCATCCAACAGAAAGGGAAAAAATCGCAGAATCTCATTTGGAGCTGCTCATCCAGGATGTCTGTTTCATTCTTGCCGTTCTTATGCAGAAACACTAATCAAAAAAACAAATCGTCGTGGTAACATGGTTTACAAGTTATATAAATATCAATTATCACATGATATCAGTTCAACACTATTTTGGCGATATTTCAAACGTTGTGCGCAACTCAATCTCAGGTTATAAAAGGGCCTTCCTCGTACCCTTGAAGCAACACAAAAAAACGATGTGTGGTGAGGATTGCCAAACGGAAATTTGAGGAACCAAAAGTCTATATCACCCTTTGCCGATCAAAGGGGCATGCTGATTATTGGTGGGAAAGGGACAAAACCCAACATCGGAAACTCCAATCTCTCCCTAAAAAGGGATGAAAGTTCCTGATTCAAGAGAGGCATCCGAATAAATTTGGGGTGGTCTTGGTTTCATGCCAGATTTAGGTGGTCCGATTAAACTACCCATCTTCGCAACCACGGGCCATAAGTAGAACAAAAAGGGTACATTTATGTACATGCTATCCTCATACGATGGATTGTTTTTCTAGAAAAGCCCCTGGATATATTTTTCTGGTAGAACAATGATTCAGAGAATAACATTTATTACTCTTATTTCCAAAGGTCGTTTCAAAGGAATTCTCGTGGAGAACAGAAAAAACTGGGGATACGCCAAACTCTTAAACAATCTGCCTACCGATGGAAAGCCGATTGAGGAGGAGAGTTTTGAACTAGTTTGAACTTCCAATGAACCTTATTCTGCAAAAATGTCTCCTATGGAGTTAAAGAGGACAAAACACTGTGCACCAACTTGACCTACCACGGACGCAACAAAACGGGCAACCACCCTTACCCTCTCGACGCTCCACCTCTCACCCACTCCGAAGCTTCGGCCAGGAAAATCCCGTAACATAAAAAGAACCTCGGAAACTTTTGGTTCTTTTACATTGGAGCATACCATCGGGCTCGCATGGGTACTGTTGAATTGGGACCAACAAAGGCGTGGGCCAAAAATTCTGGGGCCCTTGAAAGCTGTCTATTGTGGGCTCAAATCCCATGGTCTTAAATCGCCTTCTCCCGCCACCGACTTAGCGCGCGGGTAAAACAAAGGCATTGGACCCACTGGAAAAAGAAGCAAATGGGCAAGTGAAGTTAAAAACCCTTTATCATAGAGCGAGTAAAGACTTCTTTTTTCACCAAGTTTTTTCGGAATTGTACCCAAGGTCTCATGTCATTATTCTACGATGTGCTAACGCGGGACAAAGCCTTGGAATCCAGAACCAAAAAAAGGGCATTGGGGTTTGTTGTATTATTCCGGGGAGTCACCTGACTAGATAAGCAGTGGATATTTTCTCCCCACAAGCGGTACAGATTATTTCCAAATACCTAGTGAAAAAAGAAAAAATATCATCCGGGTGAGCCGTTTCCTGACGTTCCGGAGTGTGGTTCGTCAACTTGATGGACCACACATAGGAACCTCACCTTAAGACCAACTCAACATGGGAGCACTTGCGGACAGTAATGTAATGATCCGATGTTGAACTAGTCACCCCCCCACCCACAGCCAGGAATTCCACATTTTGGCGAAAAGGACAGCGCACTCAAGAGATTCAAAAACCACAGGCGGACCTTCCACACTTTCCCCCAGTTACAAACCAAAGCCCAACTGGAAAACGCAGAACCAACAACCCATAGAAGCCACCTGGAAACTGCCGCGGATATGACACTCCCCTCGCCTACGAATCACAAACTACGCTTCCGTGTTTACAACCCACTACACCCACTCAAATCTAATCTCCAAGTTTGGCGCCTCACCCTCTCGGCCACATCACGCACAAAAATTTGCATGGAATCCCGGGAATATGGTTCCCACATCAGGACTGACAATAGGCCCAGAATTAAGTATACGACGAACCCAACCCCCATATTGTATGGAGTCCAAATACAAGAGGCGAGACCGCTAATTTTCTGGACCGCGCTTCGTTGGGAAGGTTTCACCATCACCCGCCGCAAGATGCAGAACGGATGTTCCAAACACAGCGGGAAGCGATGATATTTCTTAAATTTTCTTGTCTTGTAAACTTTTTGAGTCAGCAGATACTCCGTCGCGCGAAGCGATGTCAAGCAACTCCGAGAGATTCGATTAGCTTAATGAGCGGAATGCCCTGTGCGCTTCTCAAACGCAGCACTCAAAAATGGGAGGATTAAATTTCTAGTCGCCTACTGGTCCACACACCAGACTGGGAGTCAATTCTCCAACTCCTCGTTGATTCTCCCGACACAGAAAGGAACTCACGATCGACCACCACATGGCGATCACATTTCCTTAGTCAACCCCTACAACCCCAGCCCTGGAGGGGTGGGGCAAAAATACGAGCCAAACCAGCAACTAAATTAGGAGTTTAATAAACAGAATGGCGAACTCTAACAAAAAATACTCAAACCAGTTTCGTAGTTAGCCATTGAGAGGCTGGTGACCGGTAGAAGACAAACAACACCGTAACAGACCAACGGGGAACTTTCTATAGTTCCCGTAAAGGCGTGCGGAGGGGTCTCCGGCAAATATAAACAAACTTCCTCAGAATATCCATGGGATTGATTAACGCTCTAAATTGACATACGGCGGGTCTTTTGCTCCATGCCTGTGGTCGCACCGCTCGATAAGATCGAATGGCATAGGAACCCATCTATGTTGGAAGAGGGCAATCATTGGATCATTATCAGTCCACGTATTCGCGGCTGACCGTACTCCAACCTCACAATCTTGGCTTCGCGGCGTCAAGCCATGCCTTTCTATCATATTCGCGTCGTTGGGCGGCGGAGTCTAAGCCTCATCATGAAATCAAGCCCTTTCTCTTTTGGCAGATAGCGGTGGAATACGTGGGTAAAGAGACATGAGTGTCCCCCTTTCGTAACTGTCAGGGAAGGGGCCACATATCCATCCGAAATGTGGAATAAGTGGCAATATGTCTAAGAATAGGTGAGCGACACGTGCGAGCCAAGCTTGGCCACTATTTACCCCACAAACCTGAGATTTTTAAGGGCGCGCGTCTACGGCGGTTAAAGAAGGCACCCCGACGGGGGAGCGGCTTGCGGGTTCTTTTCACGAAGGTCGAATTTTTGACAGGCCATTTACTTTCACATCGACCAACGGCACAGGGATTCCCCAAACGCAGGGCGGTCAGGCAGCTTCCAGTGAAAAACCACCCGCACCAGACTTATCTTCGTTCAAAAGGAAAGGGCGCAAATCCTGGCGGGCTTAAAAGATTCTCGGAATTGTAAGTTGTCGCTATGTCTATTTCTCGATGGAGATTCTTATTGTTCTACCGCGGGCCCAACATGGGATGAATTTAATGTTTGAGAAATTTAAAAGTTCCCGATATGAATAAGGAGTCGAGCATTTTGGATGGATGACTCCGATCTCGCACGGTTCTCACCCAAAATGAGATGCTTATTTCCTCCTGGCATAATTAGTGAAAGGTTGTTTAACCCAACCGCTCAAAATTGGAATTCTTTATCAGTCAAAGGGACAAGTATGCAGCTCTGACGGGTTGTGATAAGCGTATTCGAGCGTAATAGGTTTACGGACAACACTTTACAACCACCTTTTGGGTGAGCTGCAAGCTACTAATCCCAAAATTTGTCTTCCTGCGACAGCGAACAACAATCGACAAGAAGATAAAGGGGACTGGTGGTCAAAAGCCCAGATGAGCCACTTCCACTTCCTCCCTTTGTGACCAAAACAATGTGATTTGTGGGAGCAAGTCGAAGCTGTATCTTTACTTGCCCACCCACGGCCTGATCTACAGAATAGTTATGGTGGTGAGTTTTAATTTCAGCCGTCTTGATCATGGTCACTTTGCTCCCAACCGGCCAATTAACACTATCTGCTAATGTTGCGCCAGGTTCGTACAAAAAGGGTTTGCCGGTCACTTTTGAAAAGCACCAACTCGTAGGCTGGATATGGGGTTTTCTATAAAAAAGGGGCGGAGAGGTGTATGGTGTTAACATTAAATCTCGAGCGATTCAAAAGCTGAAACACAGTCCGATATTTTATTTGACATAATCCTGTGGTTGCGACCATGGAGCGGACACGCAACCAAAAAGGGCTAACTTCCAACGGTTACCGTGTATAATGTATCCGAAAAAGTGCACGAGATATAGCAAGGTAGCCTGGTTCAATCTAAGAAGAACGAACAAACGACAATCACCGTCAACTCTAACTGCGGCGGCTCCGACAACGACCAGCAAGCCACGCACAGCCTATTTCCCCTACTACTGTCGTCAGCCCATATTGCAAAACTTCGCAGTGGCGGAACATGGTCATCAAAAAGCCCGTACTCTATGGCCATGGCAGA